AAGCCTCTTTTTCTAAGGACACAGCCATGCCAGACTGTGTGCAAAAAAGACCCTAATCCAAGGGTCTCTCACAGCCAGATTGACTCAGGCCTAATCCACTTCAAAAAAAAGATCTTACTGATGAGATGGCTTCTCTTTTATTGAGGATGGCCAACAACAGAACTAAACACATCAAGCAAACCCATTTTCCAAAGGCAAATTTGTGAAATTTCACAAAAAATTTGTACATTATTAATTTTACTACTTGTTTGTTCCTTTGGTCCTTACCCAGGTTCTGGAGGAGCCAGTGCACAAGGAGAATCAGGATCATGTTTCTGTGATGGATGCTGAAGGGCAGCATCTTCCCGTTTTATTGCACAATGTATATTGTTCCCTTACCATAACTGCTCCTCACATTAAAGTTTTCTCTCCTGTGGAAGTTCAGCTATGTATTATTTTTATTATTTTTCTTATTTGCATAGCATCAAACCCTCTGTTTTAACCTCTGCCTAAGCCAGCTCTATAGAAGCATTTGCTTGTATGGCTTAACAAAGGACTTGCATGTGATTCAAGACCTACAAAAAATAACCCAAAAGATCGAAAGAAACTCAAGAACTTTGACTATAAGGAAAAATATTTACTATGGGCAAATATTAGTAATATCCTAACAGTGAGATAAGAAGGTATTTATTTACTACTGTATGAGAACTGTTTGCAAAAGGAAAATAGGGGACCCCTGATATTCCTGAGATATGACCAAGCAGTCAGTTAGAAACACCTCTTACAAAAACTGCAGCCCAGGTGAAGTGAGGTATCCAGGAAAGGCTGCAGCTGAGTTGAGTAAATGCTGATGAAGAAAAGTCAACAACAACCTGGGTAGGCCAGAAACAGTGGTGGGAAATAGACTCTGCTTCTGGATTTGAGGTTCTTCATAGAATGAAGCTGGATGAGACTCCCTGTGGAAGAGGTCAAGGCTCAGGACCAGTGAAGCTTGGATAAGGAGATGCCAAAGGCTGGCATCTGAATTACTGTGTTTTAGTAGGACAGTTTGATTTTTCTGGCCCTGTGAACCCTTTCAGTGTTTGAGCAGACAGTCCAGGTGCATGTGCAGGGGGCTGGATGTGCTCTCCCTGCACAAACCTGCAGTGCAGCATGCAGGGTGTGTCTGTTACTGCTTGAACCTCAGTTTGTCCTCTCTGTGAATGCTGGGGAGTCTCCAGGGCAGATGGGATGAAGGTATCCAGGTCTGCAGCATCTGCAGAGGCCAGTAGAGGTTACTGTCCTGCCTGTGGGTTATGAAATGCTCACAGTACACCTGAGCAAGGCTTCTGAGAGGTGCTGTGTTTGTGGCTGATGCCCTTGTTTGCTGGTGATGAAGGAGCATGCTGCCAGCACCAGGCTGCTGTGCCTGTCTCCAGCTGCTGACAGAGCTCCTATTCTGCTGCCTCTGGTTCCTCTCAGGTAAGTGGTACATGTCTGCAAAATACACATGTGGCTTAAGTCCCTCAAAGTCTCACTTGCTTCTCCTTGATGTGTAAAGGCTGAGTTCAAGAGATCCAGAAAGTTACCTGTGGCCAGATGGGACTTTGTGCCCAGACTCTCCTCAGAGACAAGGAAGGCAGCCCTTCCTTCTCCTTTACTCTTTCAAGCAAAACAAAAAAAAAAAACAGGGATTACTTTTTTTAAGAGTCATGTCTATCAAGACAGCCAGCCCAGTTGTGTCTGGCACTGTAAATAAAGCTAAGGAAATTTAGAACCTTCTAAGATGAGGTAGCATCTAAGCATACGTTTTGTTTTGGTTTTTTTTCCAAATCATTACTTTGTTTTTATTTTTTTTAATAAAGGAGCTAGTTTTCTTTAAGTCAAAATCTCTTTCAATTCACATCCCTCCCCCATCCAAATAACTTGTAATAAAATGAAGCTGGGTTAAAATACCTTTATGATGCTTCCTAAAATGCCATTAAGAACCAGTGTCTTCTATGGCAAGTCACTTTTAAGGCTGAGATATATATCTGTTTTGTGAGATGCTGTGGGCTAGTATTTGATAGTGGGTGCATCCCAGACCACAGAACTGCAGCTTCAGAATCTTCAGCTAAGCAAGTCCACCTTTATCCAGAACAGGTTCTGCTTTCAGCAAGGAAGGAAGCTTATGTACTGGGAAACTGCTGAAGGAAACTCAAAACCTAGAAGGTTTCTTCCCTAATAATACTTCAGTTCAAAAATACACCAAGCCAACAGCAGCATAATGGCACAGAGCAGTAGCATGTGAAGGCAATACAGGGCATTCTCAGCTATGACATGAGCTCTCTTTCAGAAAGGTTAAAGGTGTCTGGCATTTGAAGCCCAAATTTGATTTTACTAGATCTGTTTCATCTTGAATTCACTGCTTTGCACCTATTTCTAGCACATATATGACACATCGATTAGAAGAGACAGCTGTGCTGGAGAAACCAATGTGCACACTGGCTAACACCAGGCACAAGGGAGAGCCATGGCAGCTTGTTTCTGAGTTTGTCTTAAATCCTTTGCTCTCCCAGAAGTGCCAAGGGCTTGTGGTGAAAGCTGGGCTTCTTCCAGGTGAGGAGGGCACTGGGGTTTGGGGCCAGCTCTGCCAGTTCCCCAGGCACCATCCGCACAAGCAGAAGGGCTGCAGCACGCCTGCCCTTTCACACGAGGGAGGGGGCTTGGGGTGCAGCCTCAGTGCTTGTCAATCCATAGCTGTGTGTGATAATATTTTAGGCTTCTCTGGCAGATTTGATACGATCAGCTTTGTTTTCAAGTACTGCTGTGGAGATTTGTCATCAACTTCTTCATTGCATCGTCACTCCGTCCTCCTCCCCTCCCTGCCCTCTGCCCCCTTATTGGTGCCCCTCCACCTTCCCCCTGCTCAATCGCACTCAACAAGACATTCTGAATTTTCCATATCTATCTTTTTTTTTTTCTTTCCCCCCTCTTTTGTCTTCTGGTAACAGCGTTTGGCATTTCCCGGACAGCCCGGACTCCATAAGGCCTCAGTGTCTGAATACGAGGACGGCTTGAACGTTGCCTGCTGAGACTGAAGAAGAACTTGAGTTAAAATAATCCTCTCTTTTGTTCCGCTTGGGTTGCTTTTTGTTTGCCTGACAGATGTTCGGCCCCTGTGCGTGTGCAAGGAGCGGCTCCTCCGCCGGGCCCTCTGATCCGCCAGCTTATTGATTTCTGCCTATCTGTGCGGCTTGTCTGCAGCCCTTACAGATGCGAGGGCCGGGGCAGCAGCCCCTCTCCTTCACACACAAATAGGGCAATCCTCTATTGTGAGGGAGGGGGCCAGCGCAGGAGAGCCAGCCTCGCTCCCTCTCGAGCCTTTGTGACAAGCTCGGGCGGGTTTTGGGGGGCAGAGGGGAGATGGGCGTGAGGCGCTGATGGTGTGTTCTGACAGCTTGTGACGCTGCGGCACAGGTGCCTGAGTAAACGGGAAGGAAGCTGCTGGGGGCTGCTCAGAGCTTTGCGCTGTGCCTCTGCGTTCTCTCAAGTTCATATTTCAGTCATTTTACTGGGGAACGTAAGATCAAAGTTGTGGCCAGGGAAAATCTTGAAAACTGCAGTTTTGCTCTGCTCCTCCTAAATGGCATTGCTGTCCACTGCTCCGAGTTTCACTGACTGGACTAACCATGAAGGCACTGCATGCAAGACTTCCATATTGCTGTTAATTGCCTTGTAAGCCACATGAAATACTTTCCTTCTACGTTGCTTTTTTAAATTTTGTTTTGACTTGATTTTCTGCCTCCTGAGAAGTGTGTCAGGGTCTGTGCAAGAGCACGCTGCAGACCTGCGTTTTGGCATACAGTTGCAGGCTCACTTTGCTGCTGACAGCAGCTTGGCTTTTGTTTAACCCTTGACATAAGTCTGCAGAGGTCTGACCTGTCACTAGCGGCTCTAGCGCTGTGGATGGGTGTGGAAAGGGAGGCAGTTGTTGTGCAGCACTCAGCTGTCTGCCCTCGTTAAGCCCATGTCCCTGGAAAGCAGTCATTGTGCGTGCTGCCCACCACATCCCTGTGACAGCAGCTCCTCTCTGGTGTCTGTGACACACGTGCATAGAGGATGCACTCCCAAGAACATCCCTTTCTCTGGGGCTGGGACAAAGGCCATAAGAGCAGCTCCAGGGTGTGTATCTCCCACCCTGCCAAGCTTTTGCACCTACAGTGAGCTTGCTGACTGCAGAGCAGCTTTTCTACTCTGCCCCGAGTTGCTCTGTCTTGTCTTCCCTCTCTCTGAAGCACATCATTTGTTGCTGTGCACATCAGAATCTCCACAGTTACGACTCTGTGGTGGCCAGGAATGGCACGTCCTTTGGCTTCACTGATGCTACCAGGCACTAGGTTATCATTTAATACCAGGGTACCTGGGCACCAGTTTATTGAAAACTACCTAGTTATGTGTTAATGACCTGCTTCTTGACAGAATATTTTACCCCACAGAAACAAATACAGACACGTTAAGTGTTGCTCTTTGCTCACAAGAGTTGGGGTAGCTCAGTTTGGACTTGTTAAGGCAAAATTCCCACTCTGACATGTTGTGGTCTGTTGGATCTTATTGAGAGGCTGTCAAGAGCTGGCAGAGGTACTTCACATGGTGTCAAGTGATTTATACTAGCATGAATAGCAGGCAGAGAGTTTTCAGCCTGTGGTGGCCTGCGTAGCAGCTCCAGCTATGTTATGGTTACTGGATCTGAGACTGAAACCACAGCATGGTGCCTCAGTCCTTGGTGGATGCTTCCCATTAACAGTTTACTGGGACAGGGCTCAGTCAGAACTGATGGCAAAGGAGGTGGCTCTGTGCCATATGTCCTTGAAAGATGGCTAGCAGTAGGCTGGGAAGAGAGACTTGGACGGCATATATGGGGCAGAACAGATGTTCCACACAGTCATATGAGCCCCTGCTGCCTGCAACCCCCTCAGCATACTACAGCATCACTGGGGTCCTCTTCACTCTCATGAGTAACAGGAACAAAGTGTCCTCTCAGCATCAGCTCAGGTCTTGAGATTTTCTTTTGTAATCTGTGTGTCATGCAGTCCAAGAGGGGTGTGTTTATGGGTTTTTAATTTAGGGAAAATAACTTTGACAAGCCACAGTGAATTCTGTAGCTAGCAACTTTCATTACTCTGTCAGTCTTGGATCCTCCTAGACACATACATAAAAATAAGGCAAAGTGGCTCCTTTGGAAAGAAGAGCTTTGTAAAATCCTCTCTGGTTTGACAAGCAGGACTTTGGCATTCCTGTGGGACCTGTTATTTGGTGTCTCTTTCAGTGTCAACAGGAGAGGACTGTAACCACTGAGAACTGCTCAATGCACACTCTGCAAAGGAAATTTAATCTTGGGAGCATCACCCAAACACTCCATTGATTGGATTGTGTCCTAGTGACATTTAAGGTGTTGGGCTCAACGTGCTGAAATCCAGTGAGACCTTGCCTGTAGCAAGCTGTGGGGATGGCCAGACTCCTAGTTCAAACCAGGAAGGACAGCAGGTGATGTATGAACTGGTACCCAAGGGACGATGAAGAGACAAAATTCCAAAATCCATATACCTTGATCCTCTGCAGGGATCACACCTGCAAGTCAGGGTATAGGGTGATAAAAATTTCCTCTGGGTTTCAGGAAGGAAATATCTTGTGGGTAAAGGTGGATCAGTGAATGCAGCCCCGTGTATCAGTTGGTATCTGTAGGACAATGTAACACGCTGCCTGGCACAAGTGATTTTATACATGTGCATTTTTGCAAAGGCCATGCTATAACTCTCAGTAGGCTCTGTTGGACCACTAACACAATGTGAGTTATGCAGAGCAGCTGTATTTCATAGATGTACATACCTGAAACACAAGTTCTTCCCATGCTGAGTGTTAGAAAGGAAAAAAATCAGTATTTGGATTAATTCCTTTCACTTGTTTCTGCTTTACTCTCACTACCCTTCCCCTGGCTCCACAGCCTGTGCGTGATGTTGTTGTTTGCAGGGCTGTGTGCGAGCTATTCTGTGACTTTTCTTTAATAGCAGTTCTTTGAAATTCTGCTGCTCCTGTAATGGGGGCTGAGCGCGGTTGCGTCACTGTTGTGATGGTCTGTCAAGCCATCTAATTGGTTTGTCTCATTAAAACTTACAATTGGCGTTCACAAGGCAGCAGTCCTGTAGTCCAACACTGTAGCTGGAGCCACACTGGCTGACCAAGTGCTTGCACGTGGGTTTTGGGATGTGGATGTGGATGGAAAACTGCGTCTCTCATGAACTCATTGCACAGCTCCTAAGATAAAGCTTGAATGTATCAGACCACCTCTGACTTCACCTTCTCTGTAGTGAGACTAGCTGGAGGAATTCACTTACAATCATCAAACAGGTGGCTTTTAATCTCCAGTTCAGAGCCAAGACTGCTGAGATCTCAGACGGGACACTCAAGGGACATCCATTAGTTGCTGTTGGATAGCTTGGCCTGTTGGGTGTTCCTTTGTTGGCAAGAGCATGAGGAGGAAATGGTGCAAAAAAGGGGCAGATTTGTATAGCCTCTGATAGAAACTAAATTCTTGGAGTAGTTCCAAAGTGCATTTTGGCTTCAAATGGAAACATTCGTGAAAACAACCCTCTACCTGTGCAGGTCAAAATATTAGTAAAAACACTGCAAGTGCATTCTCTTGTAACAAGTCTATTTTTTATTTTATTTTTAATCTGAGCCAACTAGTCGAAAGGACCTCACTTACTTCAGGAGTCTTATTCATTGCCCTTTTTAAATTTAAATTCCAATGATGACTTCTGGCAGCATAGTTAAAATTTATCTGAGAATAAAAATTGAAGTTCAGAGCTTTAGGTTTGCGCAGAGAATGAATATCAGTGAATCTTTTCTGCTAACACTGGGATTTAACTAACCACTGAGCTTAAACTAAGCACTAAGCTTAAACTAAACCACCAGAAACTCCTGGTTTGTCCAGGAATTTTACGGGTTAAATTAGACACGTGAATGGCAGCATATAGATACTGATTTGGCCACTGTAACTCCCCAGCTCCTCAGGGAAGTGCATCTTGTCTGTTTGGTGCTTCGTTGTGTTTGATGGGGAGTGTCCCTTTGACAGAGAAGCATCTTAACAGAGGTGAAGGGCACCACAGCCACTGACTTTAAAGGCTGTAGAGCCAAACAAAATACATTGAGTGGTTTAGATGTAACAGCCTGCACTGAAACAAGAGTCTCTCTATTCAAGGCTGTAAGCTCAACAGCTCTGCACTGAGGGTCTGGAGAAACAAGGGGGAAGCGAGGTCCTCTGGATCCTGTGGAAATGCTTTTGTCTGCAATCGAGCTGCGTACCAGCTGAAAACACTTTGCATCACCCTTTAAAATGTTTTCACTTCAAATTTTGTGGGTTAGCTCAGGGTAAGCACTTCTCTTGGCTTTTGAGAAAAGCCATAAAAACCTAGACTTTGTGACTTATTTTAAATCAGAGAATTAAAACACATTGCATGGCCCTTCCAAAGACAAATTTTCTTTAATTTTAAAAAATCCAATCTAATTGTCATTAATCAAGCCATCCCCTGTGCTAATAAGATGGAGGCAGGGAATGGAATGCCATTCCAGCTCAGGCAGCTGTTGTGCATGTCAACCAGTTTCAAAACGCTTGGCAAAAGTTGTAAATGCAGTTCTAATGAGATTGGCTTGTCTGCAACTAGCAAACATACCAGCCGCACCAAAATGTTTGTTTGCCGTGGGACTAAGTGGAGATTGTGTGAACCGTTCTGCATTCAAGGGTACATGTCAAGAAAAGTTCAGATCAAGCACAAGGCAGTGACACTGGAATGCAGCTTTCTCCAGAACAGTCACTTACATAAACCCTGAAAAAAAGCCTCTACCTCAAGTCATGTTTTTTGCTGTGTGTGGGGAGCATTTCCCCATCAGGACTCTTGACTTTCTGGTATCTCAGTGCATGAGGTTCCCTGCAAAGGCTACATACATATGCAAGCTACAAGCAGAAGTGTGTTTCCTACGGGGATGTTTGAGGATGGGGTCCTGGTAGGAGACCAACTTCCACATCCAACTTTCCAACTTCTCCAGCATCTCTGACCTGCCAGGTACCCCTAGCTGGTTATGCCTCCATCAGCTGCCCAGGCTGGAGAGGAGGTGCTCAGCTGAGCCACCCAGGGCCTCCAGTGTGGGAGTGCAGCCTTCAAAGAGCAATGACCAGCTCGATCATCCACCCAGCCTGCCTGCCGAGCTCATCACAGCCAGCTCCACAAAGGACTGGTCCAGAGAGGCTGCAGTCCTGTTCAGCTAAGGCACCTCAGTGGGCCAGGCACTGTGGGTGTCACATACCCACACCTGGGTGGGCATCCAAGTGAATCAGCACATTGGTGACTTCTTATAGAACCATAAAGGAGATCACCAAACCTGTGTAGCTGCAGAAAGCTAAGCAACAGAAATACCCACATTTCAGAGATGCCAAGTCTCAGGAAAGTCAATAGCACTTCACCTCAACCGTGAAGTATCTATGTAACACCGCAAACTTTGACACCTTGTTCCTTTTCCTCAGAACAAAAGGGAATCCTGTTTTTTAACTTTCCTTTTATGGTTCTTTGAGCTTAAGTACAAAGGACTGGTTAAATTTCTGGTACCGTGACTACTCTCTTGACAGTAGCCCTTTAATCTGTGTCTTGTGCCAAAGAATATTAATTATTGTAGGCTACAGTGAAGTCCATCCCTACCCCCACTTGAGCCTCTGAAATGAACAGTGAAGTTGAACTTTGCCAGCAACTGTTAGGAAAGAGGCCAAGAACAGCCTAACAGGAAAGATACTCAGGATTTTTTGTTTGTTTTTTCTGCTGAACCATGTTTTTGTAATTATGAATACTTTGTTGAAATTGCTTGGAAAAGGAAGTACACAGAAAAATGGTCCATACAATTAAACTAACTACATATTAGTGTTGAAAGAATATAAAACTGGTCTCACTCCGTTGCACTCACACAGACAAAACCCCTTCTCAGAAGGAATTTGGCTTGAGAAGAGAGATCTGGAGACAAATCTTAGTTAACTTCAGGCCCATGTGCCTTATTGTCTGGTTTACGACTGCCCCAAATGGCCTAAAAGCAAAGGACATTCACACCAAACAAAAGCAATGGCTGAAAGAAAGAGAAAAGAGGAATTTGAAAGCTGTCATTTCCAAATCCCTTCTACTCAAAAGTTGGTTCCTGACTTTCAATAAGGAACCCTGAATAAGGCAGCAGTTACTTTGTGCTCCTAAAAACTATCTTCAACTAGACTGGAGAGAAGCAGGACTGCTTTATTTTGCTTGGATTCATGTGAATGCTGCTTTAATCAGTCCCCACTTGCTCCTGCCACCTTTCCCAGGTTTAGGTTTGTAAAATCCCGAATTGCTAAATAGAGAGAAAAAAATTGCCAAAGCAGCTTTCTAGAATGTACGATTACAGAGTACCAAAAAAAGGCTTACTAAATGTGGAAAATTACAACTTTGTCCCCTAAGTAAATAAATACTCGTGACTACAAAGGATAAGATGCTGTAGGACCATTTCAAACTACTGTACTCGATATAGTGTTTTAAAATTTCCATTTAAACAGTTTTCTCTAGGCAGGAGCCTGGTCCTGGCTCCCATCACACTAAGGCATATGTAGAGTCACAGGCATATCTCAGCGTAAAAGGAAAAACATCACCCAAGAGTAAGAAAGCTTGGTACTTGGTTTATATAATACCATCTTATGATTCAGCCTTGAGAAAGTCTTGGTTTTAGTTAAAAGAAAATTAAACTTATCCTTGACTGATGCAGTGAACTAAGCTTTTAGAAGCATGTACACAATATTTATGTCCTGTCAAGCACCTTCTGTAGTACCAAGCCCCCTCTTTGGTACATAAAATGAATTTGATCCATAAACAACATTTTTGAAAACACATCCAAAATTAGTAAAGAAGACTTTGCTTTACAAACCTAGTTTTTAAGGCTATCTGTGACCTTCTCCAGTCCCTTACACAAGCAAGAGTATGCAGCCATTTGGCTGAGATCAAAATAAAGCCTCCCATCTCCTCAACAAACAGTCCCACAAAGCTCATTTCAGTGGGACACTGGGAAGTATGTATGGCTATTTCCACCCGCTCCGCAGGGAACTGTGCCGGGGCCTGCGGCAGCAAGCAGCTATTGCCACCTTAGGGCAGCCCTTAGTACTGCTGCAGGTGAAGTGGAGCTGCCTGCTCCTGCTCTTGTTGTACACCATTAGAGCTAAAAGTGCTCGCTCCAAGGTTATTCCAATCCTGCAGCGCACCCCTCTCTCGAAAGGTACACACAACATGTTTAAAATTAATAAAAGGTTTCCAAGATGAACATTTTTGCCCTCCCTCCTTTCGCTTACATAAAATGGTATTACAGATGTCTAATCCCCGTCCAAGTAGATCTGCCAAACCCAGCCCTTTGCTTCTAGCACCTCTAAGTGGCATTGTTACAATTGTTTTGCCTAGCTGCACCTCTGCAGCCTGCCTAGACAGTTCTGTAACCAAGTAAGGCTCAAAACGCTTCATAAACTGTTTATTTACACTATAGACACAGTGCTAGATGAATACTAAGCTGATTTATACATGGGAAGTACAGGCATAGAACTAAGGAGAGCTGCAGTCGGGGCCTTCCCACCTTTCATCCTGAGGTGATGACAATCTTCACAAACTAAGCTAGGGAATGTGGCAGATTAAAAACAAACCAAAAAAAAGGCCTTTAATCCATAATATATATCTGGCATTTGGGATGTTTTAATACTAATAAGCAAGTAACTTCTAGTTGAATGGCTTGTGAACACTTTGGTACTCGCAAATCTCCTGTCACTCCTCACTCAGAGCACAAGCAGTGATGGCATCAGGCCAGGGCATAACTGGAAAGTTAAAAATGTGGGAAACAAACCTCCCCATCTCACTGGTTCCAAACTCATCCACAAAGGGAGTGAGTATAGTGCTACATTCTTTGGTGAAAGAAACTTGATATTTTAAGTCCAACGGGCCAGTGAAAAAGTTTCCTTTCCCTGCTAGTTCTTCCGCTAGATGTACTCTGCAGGGAAATCTGAAAAGGAGACAAAATGGCAATCTTGCATCGGTGCAAGTGCACCAACAGGATGGCACTGACACAGTGTCAGGAAAACAGGTACCTGCTCTTGTACCTCTTCTGAAACTGCAAATGACACCTGAAAATTCTAATCACCTTCTGATAGAATTTACAGAGGCAAGTCTAGCCACATCAAACTAAAGCCAGTAATTCCTAAAATCTGTCAACATGCATTTACTTTGGATGCAAAATCTAGGCTTAAATATGAGAGCAGCCAAATTTATCAATACTTTTGAGTTAAATCATTGCAACTCTCCTACACGTCTGGCATCCTGCAAGAACAATAAATCAGTTCATGCAGAAATTGCATAGTTCCCCTTGTTGGTTGCTTTGTTGCTCTTCACTGTTTAGACCTTGTATATTGCAAACAGACCTGTTCCAAAGGCAGGCATGTCAATTTGTTGCCCTCTTCTGTTTTTCTTTGCAACTGAAACACTATTTAGTTTCAGTAGATTACAACAACTTTGTGTAAAGCTCCAACAGCCTATTGTGAAACACTTGAGCAATTCAACATAAATCTGGTATCAAAGAGAGCTGAGTTTAAGGTGTTTTAACTTAATTTTACAGATGTAATACAGCAGGTATTTAGTTCAATGCTGATTTGTATTTTAAATAGGCACAGGATTTCTGTTCTCAGAATTACTGCATTGTGTGCCATTTGCTCAGTACAGACAGCATACGACTACAGTCATTTATACAATCAACCTTGTCCATCTAGGATGACTTTTGAAAATGTTAAATATCCTCTTAAGACACCTGAATACGTCTGGAAGTTCTGACTTGCGTGACCTAGTGATTTCAGCCACCGCGTTACTCAGACTGAGATGCCGAGTGCCTTTCCTACTGCCCAACTACCCAGGAATGAGCTGCTCCCTCCTTACCTGGCCCAACACTGGCACCCAGTGGTCGAGTGCCTTCACAAACACTTTGGGAAAGTTGGTGGATTTCCTGAACACAGCCAGTCTGTTTAAAAGCACTAGTTGTTCGATTACTGAGGTTCAAAATGCTACCCACTGTCTAAACTGTCTAAAAAGCCTGAGACTGCTGTCTCTAGAGAAGACCACCCAGAGCTAATAAAGCATGGCACCCAAAATGCTGCACTGAAATCAGCCAGTCACATACTAACAATGTTAACAGGAGGGTCAAGCATGTCAGCAAAATTGTTCTTTTAAGGAACTAGTATGCCACCTGAAGCAAAGAGATAACTTCAATGTCCTTTTTTGAAGAGCTACAGACTGTGAAAGGACTCTTGGACAAGAAAAAATTATCTTGTCCTTAATGATGCAGCTGTTTTTCTAAAGGTCTAATACTGAAGCCAATTTCCAGGAGTGTGATACACCACATCAAACAAACTACACTTGATGCAATTTTCCAAGAATCAAAAGCAGCAGTAGGGCTAACAAAGGACCTAGGCATTAAAAGGCACTCAGGAATCTCCATTCTATTTTCCATCAGTAGCCTCATGGGGACAATGTTTCAAATTCTGGGCACTGACCAGAAACACGCAGAAGTGACCCCAGATACAGAGCCCTGGACTAAACTCTGAACGATTCCATTTAACATTCTTCCCTCTAACAGAGTAATACTGGTTTCAGATGACTCATACAGTCTTTGCAAATAAGTACACAAAGTCAAATGTCAGGACAGCATGTCAGAGAAATAAAGACAGGAAAAGCAAGC